CGGGGCTTGGGCAGCAACGGGCGCTGCAGAGCTTCCCGCCGGGAAACCGAAGCCGGGCGCCGGCTGCCCCGTGCACAGCCGGCAGATCCCCCCATCTCACGCCGGGAGCAGAGGACCCCTCAGGTGCAGTCCTCTGCTCGGCTCCATAGAGCAAAGCTATTAGGATGCGCTGCGTCTGAACATAACTCTCTGTGTGAGTTTTGGAGGTGTCGTACAGGAAGGATGCTAAAAATTGCTCCAGGTTTTTTTGCTCCGGGGACTTTTCCGCAGGCTTTGATTACGCTAACAAACTCGAGAGGCTCGCTCTCTTTTGGAGACAAAAACAAGAACGCACACATTCAGTTGGTCTGTCTTGTCCCAAACCAGGTCTGCACTGGTTGATTTGGTTGCAAATCGTAAGCACACCTCGCTGAAACTGTCAACATAGGGAGTGCTTATCGACTCATATATGGCACAGATAATGACCGTTCAATGTACCTTCAGTTTCTGCTTAGAACAAACAACTCGCAGAACATTCTTGCACAACACACACGTGCCAAAACAAGGTATTTCAGGTTTTACACACAATGCAAAGCTACGATATACTACAGTATTTAATGCACACCAATAGGAAAAGTTCCTAAAAAATACTCATGCGGTTTTTGTGCCACGGGATAGGTAATGGCTATTTCGTAGAAATAGATCCAACTGGCTCCATTGGAGCAGCAGTATAAATATTCAAAATAGAAGTAATAATAGGCCCTGATGTGAAACTTCTCTTTTTTTTTTTTTTTTTTTTTTTAATTTTTCCTTCCCCAAATCTGTCCCTTCTGTCAGCAAGACAGAAGCAAGATGCTTAGGAGCGACTGCATCTTGCTACAAGAGTATAGCTGTGTGTTTGTGGGGTGGATTTTAGCGAAATGTGCCACATTGTTGCTAACATCGTTTGATTTAAGGAAGTATTTTAGGCATTTTAGTGGTTGCTATTATTATTAATCTCATTAACAACAACAAAAAGAGAAACAACGGCAACAAAAAACCAACAGGAAGGTACAGCGGGCTTCCTAGCGCAAGAGGACTTCCAGCGGGCATAGTTACGAGAAGGCTGCTCAAACCACGGGCTGCATAGCGCAACAAGTAGCGACACACTTCTTCTCCAGAACGAAAAATGATGACGCAGGCATGTCATTGACTCTCTCTAGTGCCGGTCCCTGGACCCTTCCTCCTTCTTGCCAGGGATCCGCAAGCACACTTTGTTCACCAAGGCCAGCGGCAGGCGGCTTTTTCCGCTGGACTTCCTCAACACGCGCAGCGCGAGGGCTGCCAGTGCCTCCGCACGTTTAGCGTAACAACGAAAGAAAATCAGGTGCTGAGCTGAATGGAAACCACAGGGTGTTAAGTATTTTGATATACAACATTTTGCCCAAAGAAAATTAAACCGAAAAAATCACTTCCAAAAGTACAAGTGAAATAAAAATGGGCTTTCTGTCTGTGAGCGGGGCACTTTTTATTTTTTTTTTTAGTTGAACGTTCCCGCCTCCCCGCTATAGCTTAGGGTTTGGTGGGGTTTTTTTCCCCCTTCCTTTCTTTTATGTAGGGTTTGCTGTGCCTTTGCTACCAATATTTGCCACTGTTTGTACCATAGACAAAAACATTCACCTAGCTGGTAGTATCTTAATACATTTCATAGTAGAACATATACAAGAAAGAAGAAAAAACATACCAAATGAATCAGAATAATCAGTGCTTAAAGTAAGTACGAGAGCCAGCACTGGCAAGAATCCACAGTATCAATACATACAAATGAAGCTGTGATGGTGTTTCTCATGGGGTGGAATCTGCCTGCATATTAATACAGAATTGTACAAAATCTAGCAGGGATATTGGAACAATGAATAGCTAAACTTTCACAATAACTTAAGATCTGTGAGCAAGTCTGCGTTGAAGATATTCCGCATTTTAAAAAGTGCCATCTCTCTCTGTGTCTTCCTCCCTCCCAGAGGAGGGGTGATGAGTCCACATGATCTGTTTTCAGGTAAGTTCAACTGCTTAAGACGACAAATGTCTGGCCAGGTCCAGTGTATTCTTTAAAAAGAGTGGCAAATTATGACTTCAGTAACTATGTCTGTGCAAAATACGCCTCTTTCCTTTTAAAGAAACCAGTGTCTGTAACTCATTTAGAAAAGTTCCGACACGTACTTATGTCCTTCTCAGAATGAGTAAGACATGAACTACTGAATCCCCCCAAAACAAGAAATCTGATGAAGCAGAGAAAGTTCTGACCTTCCGTTTCCACATGCAGATCATTAAAAAGCAGGACACCTCCTTGGTAGCCCTCCTGGGCTGGCGATCACACTATTGCTTGGAAATACCATAAACACCCTAGTGATAAAACTCCAATATTAATAGTAAAATGGTAGCAGTGTTTATCCTTTGAATGCAGATTTACTTTGCATTCCTCATCACACCTGTACAAGACTCATTATTTATGGTAAAAAGTCATCGTCTGTTGCCTTGACGGTCTTCTTTTGATACACGGTAAATCCATTCATATGCCGAGTACCTTGAATTGTATTCCCATATTACACTGCCCTGTGACCTTTGGATCCTTACAGGAGACCCAGCGCTCCGAAGGAGAAGCTGCAAGAGAGGACATTGAACTCTGGCAATTAGCAACACCC